ATTGTGCGGCCCGACAAAATGGATAGCTTTAAAAATACGTAGGATGCTTAAAATAGATATATAAATTTATTTAAATTATAAAAAATATCATACTAAGTATTGAAAAAGGAAAATAGGGAAATTAAAAGGGAAAGGAAGCTAAAGAGAAAGAAATAGGTATTTAAAAAGTTTGAGAAAGGTGAAGATAATGAAAGAAATTAAAAGGAAAGGGAAGGAAAGGAAAGGAAAGGAAAGGAAAGGAAAGGAAAGGAAAGGAAAGGAAAGGAAAGGAAAGGAAAGGAAAGGAAAGGAAAGGAAAGGAAAGGAAAGGAAAGGAAAGGAAAGGAAAGGAAAGGAAAAGGAAAGGAAAGGAAAGGAAAGGAAAAGAAAGGAAAGGAAAGGAAAGGAAAGGAAAGGAAAGAGAAAAGAAAAGAAAAGAAAAGAAAAGAAAAGAAAAATAGAATAGTTTTTTTAAATTTTTTATCAGGCTGATTTTTCACATATTATTTGAGACTATTGTTAAAATAATTAATGTTAGTGACATCTTCAATAATGATATATATGTTGTCGGCGTAGCATAGCCAGTCTACATTTTGTAGGTTACTGGTATTTGTGATGTCACTTAGTAGATTGAAAATAGGGGGTGGCACATCCTTGTTTTATACCACATTTTTGTTTAAAAAATTCCTCGACAACGGTCCATAATTGGCCCGACAATCTATCACTTTGTGCCCCCGTCGTCCGCATAAAAAACATTCAATATTACTTAGAGTCATCCGCGACGGTTTTCTCATCATTGCATATTGAGCAAAATCATCTTCTCCCATCATAATATTATAATTGTTTGTTGTAGGTAATGTGTATGGAGCTCCTCGTCCATTTATCGAAAGTTGTGTTGGGTCTAATCGGGCTTTGTTGGTATATTGACCACTTATCTAACCAGGAATCAGCTATGGACTCCCTAGATTTGACTAATTCACCTGAATCATTGTATATGTCGTGAGAATATAGAAAGTCATCATAATTTTTATTTTTTTAAAATTTTTTTTATTTTAAACCAAAATTTTCTTCAAAATCAAATTATTTAATTTTAAAACCAAAATTTTTCTCAAATAAAATTATTTAATTTTAAACAAAAATTTTCTCAAATAAAATTATTTAATTTTAAACCAAAATTTTTCTCAAAAAATTATTTAATTTTAAACCAAAATTTTCCACAAATAAAATTATTTAATTTATCTTTTTTAAAAAAAAAAATTTTTATACCACTAAATTAATTAACAAAAATAACTTTATTTTTAACCTCCTTTAAATAAAATTTTTTTTATTTCTAACCTTTATTCAATTCCTTTACATGAAATCGCATCAAATAAATTTATTTTCTACACCCCAATTAATGAATACCCCTTGATTTTTATTATTATTATTTTACAACTTAATCTCGATCCCGAAAATATTTCCAATTTTTCTATTTGGATTCTCTCTAAACTTTGATTTATGTGTGAAATCGTTTATTTTAAATCTTAATATTTAAACTAACCTCAATCCCAAAAATATTTCCAATTTTACTATTTGAATTCTCTTTGATTTATGCGTGAAATTGTATATTATAAATTTTAATATTTACGCGAACCTCAATTCCATAAATATATTTCCCTCAACATACTTCCCCCCCCCCTCCTTTTTTTTGTATAACCTTCCTAAATTTTAACTATTACATTTTAACATAAACAACCCACATATTATATTTCTTTTTTCTCTAATAAATTTTAAATCACTATACAATTTTAATAGCAAGTTTACTTTGAGATCCGCTTTATTAATTCTAACCGAATAAACTAGAAGCCATTTATTATGAGAACTACTTAAATTTGCAAAATAACCCAGAAAATATATATATTTATTCAATTTCCATAATCCCATATATATATTTTTTTAATTATTGACCTATCCTAACACAAAAGGAAAATCTAACACAGCGTATTTACCTATCAACTAAGTTTATTCGACTCGACATCTTAGCTGATCTCTATGGCGACGCACTTCCGTCATATTTTCGATTTTATTTTGCACAATTTATTATCTAAATTTTCTATAATTATCCCCATTTACCATTTTTTAACACTCCTATACATCCTTACCCAGATTCATATTCCATATAATTTTCAATTTCCAACATTCTCGAAACAGGTTTAAACATATCAAAAAACGTATTAGTTTTCCTTCCCAACATCTTTTCCGAAGGAATTTACAATCCCTTCCTACCCCATTATTATAATATAAATTAGCTATCCAAATTTCTTCTTTACCTTCTTTGGCCTTTCTCAACCAATCTTTAACAACTGCCACCAACCTATCTGCCTGTCCATTAGAACCAGGGTAATACGGTGGTGCCAGCATATGTTGCACATTATTTCTCAAACAAAAACCCCAGAACATTTCACTCACGAACTCCGGACCACCATCCGAAACCACCCATTTCGGGATGCCAAATCTAGACCATAATTTCTTTAAATGTTTTATAACAATTCCCATAGTTAAACCATGTACCTCTTCAATTTCAATCCACTTTGAAATAGCATCTACACTTAAAATAAATTTTTTATCATTACACTCAAAAAAATCCATGTGCACTATTTCCCAAGCTCCATTTACTTTCGGCCAAACACTTTTCTTATCCCGACACGGCATGATCGCCCATGCGTTACAGACTTCGTAAATTTTTCCTATTTTCTCAATCTCCTCATTCATTTCAGTCAGCCAAACATATTCCCTTCCCCACTGTTTCATTCCTAAACCCCTAAATGTCCCGCGTGTAATATTTTCAGAACTTTGTCTCTCAGTTGACTCTGTATAACCGCTAATGCAACCGTCTACCACAATTAACTCAGCTTTAATACATTTGAATTTATTCTCACCAACATCCTATGGTTTTTTCCCCGTTATTCGCAATGTTAATAGTTTCATTTTCTTATCTTTTAAGGTATAATTTCGAATATCTTCCTTGTGTAGCATGCCTGGGGTTTCATATACCCCACCGGAGTATTGAAGGGTTAACCACCATGTGACTCTTTTTCTTCTACCCAATCTTCGTTTTCCACAATTTTTCTTACAAATTTCGCTGGGAATTTTAGTGATACAGGCAATTTTTCCTGCTCCAAATTTGATTCTTTATATATTTTATCACATTTTATATAACTATTTTCCAGCTCAGATTCCCCTACAGTTATCTTATTTTCTATATCTAACTTAAAATCCTCAACATTAGTTCTCGAAACATTATCGACTTTCAAATCCAAAATTTTATCCCTTTTTTAATATGTGACATGATCTCATCACTTTTAATATTTACAATATCAAGCAAACCATGATAAATTTATCCACCTATTATTTTTACATCTTCCTGAATTTCCTTAAAATTATCCAAATTTTTTAATTTTATCACTCTTTGGAATTTTAATTTCCCACATTTCTTTTTCCTTATTATTATAAATTTGCTGAATTTACCATACTTTAAATTTTAATATTCTCTGACATATTTTTCACCAATTTAATTTCCATGTTTTTAACATCCACCTCCTCTACGGACATTTTTGGTATTTCAATATTTTCATTAACTTTATTCTTCATTTGAATATATTCCAAAAATTATCAGTCTAAATTTTGATATCCAAGCGATCAAAAAGGAGAAGATAAAAAAAATTGAGAAAAGATAAGAAAAATAAAGATTAAAAAACTAAGAGATTTCAAAAAGTTAGAAGTAAAATAAGAAAAACTAAAAATTTAAGAAAAATTAATATTTAAATAACTGTTTTCCTTTACGGAATAATAATTTTCCTTTTTTGATTGACACTTTTTCTTTTTTTGATTTACTCTTTTCCTTTTTATTCGGGCCTTTTCCTTTTATGATTGGGGCTTTTCCTTTTTTAAATGGGAAACCCTATATATTATGCAATAATTTAAAACCAAGTGAAACATAATTACTCAAATATTTTTTTATTAATTATGTATGTATACATAAAATTATACAATATAAGATCTCTTATATAATAGGCTTATCATATTTTTTTTCAATTTACAGTAATAATATCCTGATATGGAATCGAACTCAGGATTAAATACGATAAAGGAACATTTGTTACAGCAGTTCAGTGCTATTCCTTCACGAAGTAGCTTAGTGTTATTCCTTTACGGATTTTTAAATTTTATTGTTATTTTTTTTAAAGTTGTCTTTTTTGGTCTTGTGAAAGTAGACCTCTCTCCCTTAATGGGCAAGAAGTCAGCAATATTTTAATCGACACCAAATATCGATATAGATATTATAAAATCCAGCTTAAACATCTTTTGACTGAGAATTTTCACTTTTGTCTTAATGGGTTGAACTTGATCTGGAGAGGGAATATCTGAATTTTATTTAATATATGCAAGTTTATTTCATTATATAAACAAAGGATAAATTTGGTTTTAAGCAAAGGATGAGAAAGTGATAAATTTTATTTATATTAATTTTAAAAAAAATATTATAATTTTTGGATAAATATTTTTATACAATCTCTGTAAAGAAATCAAATAATATAACATATTCTTTGGGTACCCCTTATATGATTATTGGTATAAGTTTTCATTTTTCATAAAAATAAGTGTAATGTCTTTGTTAAATTTGATTAAAATAATATAAAATTGCTTTCATTAAATAAAACAACCACTCTTCAGATGTGGCAACTTATAAAAATATCTATAGGGGTTGAATTTTTTTTAAAGATATGTTCTTAACTGAAAAAAAATTTAATCAAATTATATAATTGTAAAAAAGCTATTTTATTCTTTAACCAATAGCTTTAATTATTGTATAGAAAATTTTATTTCCCTTAAAGTTTTTATAATATAAAGACTAAATAATACTTGATATATTTTAATTTTGTGAAATATATATAATAAATATTATATGTTTTAAGGTAAAATGTGTTTCTTATTTTATTTCATTTAAAAAATATTAATTATCACATTTAAATCAAGTTTCTTCTTCTTTATAAACATTTAAAATTGGGATATTGTTGTTGCTGTTTCATTGTAGAATGTAAATATCATTTAAGATGAGTCCTGAAAATGATTGCTCTGCAAAACAAACACTTATGAAATTTTGATAATACTAAAATTTGTGAATAGCATAATCACTAAATAAAAGCATATTTAAAATATTTTTGTTAAAATAAATAAGTTTTGACACATAAAAATTTTAAGTGTGAAATTTTGGATAAATAATAAACAAGATTTTATAATTCAATAATATAAAATGGTAAAAAAAGGTTGATTTAGATAAATAAAACAACTAAGGTATAAAAAATTTTTTAATTTATTTTTAATTATATATTTAAAAAAATATATATATATTATGTATAACCAGTTATAAGATTATATTATCAACATATATTAAATAAATTTTATATATAAATATAATATAAAAAAAATAATAAAACAATATAAAAGTAAACGGAGTATAAATTTATCTTTACCCATTTTTGATATATTTTTTAAACGTTTTATAGACGAGTTCAATAAGCTTGAAGATCCTTCAAAATTTTGATGCTAAGGTGTTAAATAAAATATCAATCATTCAGATATATAAATATTACCATGTCAGATAAAAAGGAATTTTGATACTTGATTTCCGATCCAATTTCTATCGACAACTAATGTGATTAAATAGAGATGTGAGCATATCATAAATTAATTTACTGATTTTAAAGCAGATACCTTCGATGATAATTCTTCTGAGAAATCATCATTACGCTTAAATTGGTCTATATTATCATCATTAGCGTTTTGATCTAAATAAAATATTATATCATTCTAAAATATATTATAATGTAAACCTAGATTCGACCGTCTCATTCAAAAAATTTAACACGTGTGTTTACGTGATACGTGATATATAGCGCTTTTGCCCTCTAACGTTGAAGATTCAACAGAGCTACGCTAGGTTTTCCTCATTTCCATCTAATTGGAACAATTTAATTTGGGTATAAAAATAAAAATATGAGGAGCCCTCCACACGTTTGTGGGCAAGCCGCACGGACTTGTAGGCACAACATTTCGAAAAATGTTGCTTAAACCTCTATAGGCTTTAATTTAGAAGGAGTGGGACAAAGAAAAAGCCTATACCCGAGAACTACAGCATAATTTAATTACTTTAAAGGTGGGTGATGGCTGATTTTAAGCTTAATTTCTTTAATGTAAGTTATATCTGTAAATAAATATAAATAATTATCCTAAATGTTGACAAAATGGCGAGTCCAGCTGATTTATACTATTTTAATCAACACGTGTGTTTATGCAATTGTGATATACTTAACCCATTAATGGTCAAGATTTTTCTAGTGGATAAAAATGCTCAATTTTTTCAAATTATATTGATTAATGCTCAAATATGATATTCTAAAAAAATCAGCCAAAAAAAATAATCATAAATAGAAAATCTAGCCTGGTGCATATATGCACCGTTAACCATTAAGAGGTTAAAAAAGATAAAAATTATATAAAATACTATAAGATCAAAAAAACAACAAATATCTTTATTCTTTTTTTGTAATTTATAATAAAAACGAGAAAATGTTTATATATTATGAAAATCCTTGAAACATTTAATATGGAGTGCGATTTGACATGTTTGGCACATATATCTTGAGTGCGTATGGCAATATCTGCATCTTCGTCTTTTTCCATCTATAATTTTGGATAAATAATGTCCAGATGAATCAATAAGGTTTTCACACTGTAATGCAAACTGGCTGGCGTGACCTGTACTTGAATTTTTTTCAATTTTTACTGGCGTTCGAAGGAGGTAAGTTAGTAACTTCTCGTCTAAATGCAAGCAAACTCTTCTTGTCATCCCGATTCACGAATTTCCAGATTTTCCATGAATTTACCAAAGCTACATCAATAAAATTGGTGAATATTGGCCACCACCATTTTTTTCCTCTTATTTTTATTCTATATGTAGATATTAGATTATCACATAGATCAACTCCACCCATGTGTTTGTTATAAGCAGTTACCATATTTGGCTGAGGAATTTTTATTTTAGAAGATATTTTCTTAGAATACCTTGAAACATTAGAAAGCAAAGAGATAGTGTGGCATGTCGATGCAACGGTCACCACCGAATTATCATTCCAACGAACTACAAATGTTTCGCTTAATTTTTCAAACCTATAATCATAATATCCTCTTTCTTTTTTTGCTACAACCTTTATAGATTCAACTGGGCAATGCTCTATTCTATTATCCCTCACAGTTCCAGTTGCAAAATATCCCATTTGTTTTAAGTATGACAAGAGTTTAAATGATGTAAAGAAATTTTCAAAATATATTTTATGATAAATTTGGTTTTTGCAATGCCTTTAATAATTTTATGATTACATTTCCACCTAATCCATATTCATATTTATTTTCGCTTTTTCCTTGATATATATCAAATGAGAATACGTAACCGTCGAGGCCAATATCCAAGACTTGTATCCGAATCTAATTGGTTTTCCTTTTATGAACATTTTGCAAGAATGTCTTCCTCGATATGGTATCATCTGTTCATCTATTGATAAATGATGTTTAAAAATTCCGAATTGCTGAAATTTATTATTCAATATATTAATGTAAGGCCTAACTTTATAAAATCTATCATGTATATCTATTTTAGTATTGTCTGCCAAATGGATATTATATTTCAAATTTCGAAATTGTAATTGGGTCATTGTATCCCGGATTATTGGAATAGAAATATCGCTGTCATTAGACCAGTACATTCTTTCTTGTGGGAGAGAATGACCAGTAAATAATAGAATTCCAATAAATCTCTGAATATCTTGGATGGTTATGCATATGTTAGGTCTATTCATTTGTTTAGCATAAATATTACTACTTTGTTCTACAATTAGGGAATATAAGTCTTCGTCGAAAATTAAACAAAATATATCTGATGGACTTTTACCATGTAAATCATTTTCAAGTTTTATTACATCTTCCTTTTCTCCATTGAAAGGGCTTGAAGAATATATTGCATCCGTTTTTCTCCATTTTAAATTATGAGAAATTCGAGAATAGCTTCTTGTAGAATATGGTTCTGGAAGGTCGTCATCAACTGAATTATGAATCTCCAATTCTCCAGCTGTATCTGAAGGCAAAACTCCGACATTTGTTAAGTCATTTTCATCGAAATCTTCTTCATCACTAACTGCAGAGGGGTTTGGCGGAATTATAACCATATCTCTTTCTTCAATTGGTTCCTCTTCAAAAAGTTGAGCAAGCGCTTGTTCAATTGTTAGAAAACGTTTCATTAAAAAAATTTATTAAAAATTAAATATCTAGACAAATTATTTTCGTAGAATCTTGATTTTTTTATTAGTCATCTATTATTTTGATAATTTTGATTGAATTGACAAAACAGGTGCATAATAATTTTATATAAATAAAATAAAATCTTCAGAAAGGAAGAGGCTAAAAATAATTTTAAACTTTTGAATATTTATGAACCTAATAATTTCATATAATTTGATCGGGATAAAAAATTATAATAGGAACAATATATTATTCGATTTAATCTCAGGGGGAAAAAATTTTTTTAAATTATTTTCAAAAGGTCTTTTTTGGGTATAAAATTTTTTTTAAAAATTCTTAAGGGGCTCGAGCCACCCACCCCTCCCCTTCCCACCCTTAGTGACGGTAGTGGTTTTAAGTATAATATAAAAAATTATAATTCATTATGTTAAATTTCATTTGTTTGAATTTTTTTAAATAATATATACTGCTAGATGGTTAACGGTGCATATATGCACCAGTCAACTTTATGTGGTTACCTACTAAAATATTAATTATTTAAAAATTCAAAAATGATTGATAAATATTGATATATCTATAAAGAATATATACACACTAGTTTTCATCGAAATAATTTTATAATATGCTCGTGAGATCACTTAGAAAATTTTGCATTTTTAGACCTCATAAATTCGCAAAGTTTGAGGGTTTCTTAGGGGCATAAAAAAATATTTTTTTCATATTTTTCTTTTCCAGTTTTGAAGTACAATGTCTGAACTATATAAAAATCTTTTTTATTATTTTTTAAAAAAAACTACTATGTTAAAATAAGGTATATAGGAGGTGGTGCATATATGCACCGTTAACCAGTAACGGGTTAATCCGATGTTAAAATGGATAATTAATAGAACTAGGGCGTTTCCCTATTCCAGATGGTCGGGGAGAGTGTGGCATGGGAATCGCAAATAACATAGAATCCTAGATAGCCATGAATCACAGTAACAAATATTAATGAATCACAAAGAATGAGATATCAATGTTCTATAAAAAATTAAAAAAGGATAATTAATAGAACTAGGGCGTTTCCCTATTCCAGTCTATGGTCGGGGAGAGTGTGGCATGGGAATCGCAAATAACATAGAATCCTAGATAGCCATGAATCACAGTAACAAATATTAATGAATCACAAAGAATGAGATATCAATGTTCTATAAAAAATTAAAAAACAATATAGGTAAGGGGTTGAGTAGGTAAATTTAAAAAAAAATTAATGTATTGCCATAATATAAATGTGTGTATTATCAATAGCTTATTTATTGAGCAGGAACAATGATAAATAAAAATCATAGAAATTTAGGTCTTGAATCTCACCAAAATTTATATTTTACTTCTGAACCTAGGCCATCTTACAATTTTTAATTAAAAGAATAAAAATTTAAACACATTTTTCTGTTAAATGATTTAAAAATCACTAGTCTGACCTTGTCATAGATAAATCTATATTATCATTTTATTTAGATACAGTGAGAGAAAATATCATTTCCTATTTATATTTTTTAGAATTACTTTTTACATTTATTAAAAATATTTAGTATATTGCGAATAAAGACGAATTTTGTCTGGAGATTCAATTCTCAAGTTATTTTTATCATATTTAAGATTAGATATATAAAATATTATTTAAAAAATAAATAGAATACTTCATATCTTCCTTTTGTGATTTGTGCAAAATAAAATAGAGGGGAATGTGCGGAGATATCAATATGAGTAATCTTTAAAAAGGTAGGATCTTTAAGAATGGATATATAATTTTAATTTAAATAATACAAATATCATACCATGTGTTCTTCTTTTGATCCGATATAAATAATAAAAATAGTGAACCATGAATTTAAAAAAAATAATCAACATGAATATAATAAAATAAAATAATATACGGAGAGACTCATTGGCAAACTTATAAAAAAGGATCCTTGTGAATAGATATAGAATAATATTTAAATAATAAAAATATAGGACTATGTATTGTTCTTTTAGAATAAATGTAAAATTTTATTAATAATAAATAGAAAGCCTCTCATAGGCGTAGCCAGGATTTTCCTAAGGGGGGGAGATTATACTGGGGGCTTCGCACCCAGACCTCATTTGGGGCGGGCCTTCGGCCTGCTTTTGCCTGGCCTTCGGCCGAGTTACCTTAGTCTATATATAGTCATAAAATATTTTTACAAGAAAGGAGGTTAATTTTAATAAAAAAAAAAATAAGCCTGGACTGGAACAAATATGAAATATATTTTTATTAGTTTATATAAAATATAATAGATTACTTGTATATTCCAAACAAATATAAGAAATTTATTTATAAAAAGTAAGTAGACATATAGTTGATATTCCTCTATTATATAGAATTAGTTACAAAATACTATGTAAAATTCCACTTTTACAGACATATTTGACAGTTCAGTTAATATTTTAACAAATTTTACTAATCAAAGCTCTTGATAATAAATATAGCAACAATTTGCATTTAATTATTTAACGCCATCTATTTATTTTAAATAAAAAATTATATTAAAATTTAATCTTCATGTTATTCATCCTACAATG